CCTCGGTCTGCCCCGTGGCCTCCTCCCCGCCCAGAACGGACAAACCAAATACTGGCTCCAGATAGGAACTTTCACGTTTTTTTAGAGCCACCATAGTTTTTCTGACACACATAGAAGGCTGAGCTGTATTCAGTTAGGATGAATCCTAATGGTTTAAATGCAGATCTCCTAATCTAAATTTAATCTAAGACAAAGATGAGTGATTATGGATGATGTGAATCTGGTTGTTTCTTCCATTAAAAAAGTTGTGGTTTGGCCGTCGACTCACAGTTTGTCTCATAAAAAGTTTCCAAACCTGACTTTGAAAGTTGATTTTTAAAGTGTTACTGAACTGAATCTGATGGCTACCCTCAAGGAAGGACATCAATCTCGGAACTAATGGTACGCTCTGCACAATGGTCACCGTGATGTATGCACCTCTCGCAGTTAATGGGCTAAAACATACAAAGCCACTTGTTCTATTAGGGTCAGATAAAAATACAAAACATTAAAACACCAGAGGCGTTTAAAGTTTAGCTAACAAAGATAAAAGTACCAGATGTTTCAAAATGACGCTGTAACGTAAGAGTGATGACCTCAGTTTCCTTCTGCAAATTCAACACTCATTTCCCAATCGCAGCGTCGACCCCGGATGGTTTCTGTCACTATTTCCCACGCATGTATCCAGTGATATAAAGCTGAACTCTGCTGGCTGTCATTTTCCCCTCTGTGCTCTGGATTTTCTCCTCTGGGGGGGTTGAGGGTCCACATGGCGTCTGTCCAAATTATCCAAAAGAACTGAATTAGACACGAGTGACCTTTTCAATTCACTGACAGTCACTGTGTGTGGGTTAACCCGGCCGGCTCGCGTGCAGACAGATTGATGGATGGGCCCATTTCAAGACTCACAGCAAACACTCACACAGAAAGCTGGATGTGGACACAGACAGTCTGTGGCGCTCGACAGAAACACAAAGAGGTGAGCAGAGGGAGAATCTGAAATATATTTCCTTCTGGTTTCCATCCATCGTCCAAGGTTCATCTAGGTCTTGGTGGCAGCGGTCTGAAGGAGAACTCCCACGTTTTTTCATGTTCCAAGTCTGATTTGTTTTCTCTGACGTGTTTATTGAAGTGTAATCTCCACAGGCAGCAGACCTCCAGCTGTCTGCATGCTATGAACATATTAACGATATCTATAATGGTGGTTTCACGGTGGGCTCACAGAGCTGCAGTGCACAGGGAAATAATCTGGGCTGTCCCAGACTAAAGATTAGTCGACTATATAACCTGAACCTTTTCAACTGTGGAGGCTAACGCAGGGTTCCCACTCTTTTTAAGAAATCATTTTCCAGGACTTTTACAGTAATTTGTATTAATACAGGACAGCACTAGCTCACAGTAGTGGTCAGCATTCTTCGCATTAGCTTGCTTTCAATGGTGCACAGCCAGTTTTTCCTCAGAAGAACGGAGCTAACATTAATTTATCCATAGACCATAAATAACAGTTCAAATCAATAATTTCCAGGATATTTGAATCACTTTCCAGGTGTTTCCAAAAACGAGTCTCTGATTTTCCAGGTTTTCCAGATTAACCAGGATGCGTGGGAACCCTGCAACTGCTTACTTTTGTCTAACTAAAATTGATCGTACTTTCTAAAAAATAAAAAGACATTAGCTTAAAATCATGTGTGGACACAAACTCACCTGCAGAGCCTCCGAGCTATGAATCACCGGGTAATGTGTTTTTTGCCATAATCATTTATAAGTTCAGATGTGAAATGACGCAGGCAGGACGCTGTTTGACCTTTAGAGCTGCAGACTGGACAAGGTTCTGCCATCATTTCAACAGTATGTGGACATTCCAGACAACATTGCAGATTTAACGTTATCCAATGAGCTGGTTGAGTAAAATAAGACACAAACAGCAGCACTGTTGTGCCAGGACAGGTGTGTGTTACCTGGTTGGGGACGTGCAGGTTAAAGTCGAGTCCACAGACGAACTCTGAGTGATGCTCCACAGTGTCCAGAAGAGGCTGGTTCCTACTGTAATCCCAGAACCTGCACACACACAAACACATATTTTACTTTCATTTACTGAGCACATTCTGAGCACACCCTGTTTGAGCTGAAAGCTTGAGAAGAAAGATGGCGAGAGCTCAGAATTGACTTTTACCGGTGGTGAAATTACAGAGACTGTTTTCACCCAAAAGGGGGCGGGGCTTGACACAAGACCAAAGTACCCAGATGGGCTGCTCTCAT